AGCAGCCTCCTCCTCCAACAGAGTAGTTTAGGATTTTCTTTGCGTTATTGATGTAAATAACATTGTTATATTTAATGGATAAAAAATTTTTGAACTTATTATTATCTAGTGTTCGAGTTTTAATTTGTGATTGATGTTTTTCTTTGAGGAATAAGTTAACTGGAATTAACACAAGGTTCTGACCTCGGATAAACACTTCAAATATCCATAAGATATACCTCGAAGAAAATCCATAAGATATCCATAAGATATACCTCGAAGAAAATCCATAAGATATATAAGATATACCTCGAAGACGAAGTAAAGCACTTCAAAAATAAAGTGTAACTGATTAATAGGATTATAACCCTAAAATGAAGTGGCTGAATGAGTCAGAATGAATGAAACTTACTTCCAACGTATAGAAGAGTACACAGAACTGAATTACTTCGGTCGTGAATTGAAACTTATTAATGATTTGAGTTAAAACACACTCTAAATTGAGCAGAAGGAGTGAAAGTAAGAATTATCAAAACAAAGTTCTCTCAACTGAAGTACACGTAAGGGTAAAACTTCTTCATGTTATTGATATTCCAGACTCTAGGAACCCGTTTGCCTTCAGTGTCCCGTAGGATATAAGCACCTGGGTGCGGCACTTCGGCGACAGTGTAGGGGCCTTCCCAGTTTGGTGCTAATTTGCCGAATCGAGTTTCGAACCCTGTTAGACCAGCTTTCCTGAGAACAAGGTCTCCTACTTTGAATGATCGGGGTCGAACTCGTTTATTGTAGAAGTTTGCTACTTTCTGCTTGTAGACTAGAGTTCGAAGTCGTGCTTCTTCTCTAAGGTCATCAAGCAGATCAAGGTTCTCCCGAAGCAGTTGTCCATTCCGTCCTTCATCGAAATGGGCGACTCTGAAGCTTGGAACCCCTATCTCGATAGGAATGACTGCTTCGGTACCAAAGGCCAGATGATATGGTGTTTCACCTATTTCAGTGGATTATACTTTTAGAATGCGCTTTACACGTTATGCATATTTGCTCTACAGTAAAATCGTAGCAGAAGAAGTAGAGTAATATAAAATTAATCAAATAGGACAGGTGTAGAGTAATACCTGTGGCAGTTCGACTCGTAGTTCTGTATGCCCAGAGGACGTTGTTGAGCTCGTCTGCCCATTTGGCCTTGTGTTGTTCCAGCCTCGGCTTTATACCTTCTAAGATGCACTTGTTAACAGATTCGACCATGCCGTTGGACTCCGAATGGTAAACCGAGGTGAACTGCAATTTAATCCCATAGCTGGAACAGAAATCTCGAAAAGAGGTGCAGTTAAATTGCGTTCCATTATCAGCCACAATCTGATTCGGGATCCCATATCTGCAGATGATTGAGCTAAAAACAAAGTCTTCAACCTTCTTGGAAGTAAGACTGGATAACGGCCGAGCTTCAACCCACTTTGTGAAGTAATCTACACCAACGATCAGGTGGGTTACACCACCAACCCCCTTCACGAATGGGCCCAAAAGATCCAATCCCCACTGAGCAAATGGCCATGGTGCTACCAGAGTAGTGAGCTCTTCTGCAGGCTGGTGAGTCAGGTGCGCAAAGAACTGGCATTTCAAGCATCTCTGAACAAAGTGAGTGGCATCTTTGTACATGTTGGGCCAATAATAACCCTGTCTAAAGACTTTATGAGCCAAAGTTCGAGCACCCACGTGACTTCCGCAGACACCTTCATGCACCTCCCTAAGTGCATATTCTGCTTCATAGGGATTCAAGCACCGTAGAAGAGGTAAAGAGAGAGATCACTTATAGAGGATCCCATCAACAAGTGTATAGCGAGATGCTTTCCTTCTCAACTTCATTGCCTCCTGCCTATCCTCAGGTACTACCCCATCTCGTAAGAAGGAGAGGATTGGGTCAGTCCAGCTCGGTGTGCCTGGGTCAGTGCTGATCTCCATCATCCATGGCTTTATGAAGCTTGGTTCATCTAAGACCTCCACAAAAACTGATCTGGAATGTGAAGAACTATCAAAGGCGAATTTAGAGAGTGAATCTGCCTGTTCATTCTCAGTTCGGGGGATTTTGCTCAAACAGAATTTCTGGAATTTGCACTTCAGCTCAGCCACCAAAGCTACATATTTCACCATCACAGGGTCAACAACTTCGCAGATTGAGTTAATTTGGTTCACCACCAGCTGGGAGTCACTGTATACTTGGATCGCACTGAGTTTTAACTCCAATGCTAGCTGCAGACCAAGTAGCATGGCTTCATACTCAGCCATGTTATTTGTTGCATCGAAGTTAAATTTCGAAGTATGTTCACTTCGGTATCCATCTGGGCCAATCAAGAGAGCACCAGCTCCTGAACCTTTGCTACTAGACGCCCCATCAACATATAAGGTCCAGTCATTGAGCTCCGGAGTAGGAATGGAATTACCTGGAGTGCATTCTACAATAAAATCTACCAATGCCTGAGTTCGGATTGCAGATCCCTGCTGAAATGTTATCTCAAATTCCCCCAGTTCTACTGCCCACTTAATTAATCTTCCAAAACACTCAGGCTTTTGCAAAATCTGCCGAAGGGGTTGGTCTGTAAGAATAACGATCGGGTGCGACTGGAAATATGGCCTCAACTTTCTGGCTGAAGTGACAACTGCTAGGGCTGCTTTCTCAGCTATAGGATACCTCAGCTCGGCCCTATGCAGCACACTGCTGATATAATATATTGGTTTCTGCTGCTTGGCTTCTTCTCTTACCAGAACCGAACTAATGGCTTCATCTGAAATTCCCAGACATAAATAGAGGATTTCTCCATCTTTAGCTTTAGTCAGTAGAGGTGGTGAGCTAAGATAAGACTTCAGCTCGTTGAATGTGGCTTAGCATTCCTGAGTCCACTCAAACTTCTTCTGTTTACCTGATTCATCCTTCTGGGCAGCTGACCTCATAATCTTGAAAAACGGTAGGCACTTATCTGCAGACTTCGATATGAACTGATGAAGAGCTGCTACCCTTCTAGTCAACCTCTGTATATCCTTCACTGACTTCGGCGGTTCCATCTCGGCAATTGCTCTGATCTTCTCTGGATTGACCTCGATTCCTTTCCGGGAAACCATGAAACCCAGAAATTTTCCAAACTCCACACCAAAGATGCATTTGGCTGGGTTTAACCTCATTCTATTCTGTCTGAGATTGTTGAATGTCTCCTCAAGGTCGGTTAAGTGATCGTCAGCTTTCAAACTCTTTACCACTATATCATCAACATAAACTTCCAGATTCCGTCCTATCTGAGCTCGGAATACGATGGTAACCATCTTCTGGTAAGTGGCACCTACGTTCTTCAAGCTGAAGGGCATCATTACATAGCAATAGATCTCATTGCCAGCATAGAACGAGGTTTTTTCTTCATCCTCAGAAGCCATTGGGACCTGGTGGTAGCCTGAGTACGCATCCAAGAGACTTAATCTCTCATTTCCCGAAGCTGCCTCAACCAGCTTATCGATGTTTGGCATTGGATAACAGTCCTTTGGACATGCATCGTTGAGGTTAGTGTAATCAATGCACATCCGCCACTCACCGTTCGCTTTTTTCACTAACACCGGATTGGCGACCCACTCACAGTAATCTACCCTTCTGATAAAACCGGCTTGTAGGAGTTTCTCGACTTCTTCTTTAATAACTGTTAACCTCTCCCCCCCGAAGAGGCGTCGCTTCTGGGCTACCGGTTTCTTGAGGGGATTGGTGCTGAGTTTATGTTGAAAAACTGAAGTGGGAATTCCCGGCATATCTGCTGAAGTCCATGCAAAAACATCTTTATTGGCCCGAAGAAAAGCTACTAGCTCTGCTCTTTCCTCCGAGTTCAATTTAGTCCCAATTTGCGTTTTCCGGCTCGGATCTCTGTCATCAATCTGTACCTCCTCCACTTCTTCGACTGGGGCAGCTCTGGTTTCATCTTCCGGTCGGTTATCTACTATCTCAACACCCATAACTTGCCGATCATCAGGAATCCGTTTGGGACTAATCTCGGGTGTCTGGGCCTTGCCCTTCTGAGGTTGTGTTACCGAGGTGATATAGCAATGTCGGGTCACCTCCTGGTTGCCTCGCAGCGTTGCTATTCCCGTAGGAGTTGGGAACTTCATGCATAGGTGAGATTGGGAAACCACAGCTCGAATTTCAGTCAGTGTGGGTCGACCTATGACGACATTGAATGAGGACGCCATCTTGACTACCAGAAACCTAACTGAAGGGGTCACATAACTTCGGCCACTTCCAAATGCAACATTCATGGTGAGGACTCCTTCAACTGGAACTGGTTGGTTGTTGAACCCGTAGATGGGACCATCATACCGCTGCAGTAGAGCTGGATCTAACCCCAGACTCTCAAAACAATGGAAGTACATGATGTCTGGTGCACTCCCTGTGTCAACAAGGACACGCTGCACCTCACAATTGTTGATCGTGACAGAAGTGACTAGAGGATCATTGTGAGGTGTGACAACTGTTTCGAGATCATCAGATGTGAAAGTGATGGGTTGATTCTTCCACTCAGCATCGTCGAATTTTCGCTTCTGAGCCCGATTCTGGTGCTTAACCTCTCTGACATACAACTTTCGCTGCTTAGAGCTCAGTCCACCGGCTTCCAGACCTCCCGTAATCATGTGTATGACTCTAGCTGGTGGTGGAAGTGGTGGTGGGGCTTGCTGATATCCTACACCTTGTCTGTTTGGGGGATTGCAGACTGCTTGATGCTGTGGCCCTTGTTCTCTGACAAACTTTGGCTGTTCCACTCTCTGGATGTACTCATTCAACAAACCTTTCTGTGCCAGACTTTCCAGCTCGGACCTCAGACTATTGCATTGCTCTGTTGTATGACCGTGATCTTGATGAAAATCACAATACCTGGTATGGTCTCTGGTAGCAGCAACAGTTCTCATTGGACCCGGACGTCTTAGGTCCATCTTATTCTTAATCTGCATAAAGATTTGTGATCTCGGTAAATTAAAAGGACTCCAACTAACTGGAGGTTTACCTGCAGGTTGTTGCGGAGGTGCTGAGTTCGGCCTTCCGAATCTCGGGGTCAACATCGGACCTCGGTTCTGTGTTGTCTTCATCCGTTTCCTGTTCGGATTCTCATCTCTCCAGTCCGGGTGTTGGCTCTTAATAGGAGTTAGGTTCTGCGACAGGGCATATTCCTCAGCAGTTATGAATTTCAACGATCTATCATTTACCTCGCTGAAGGTGTTGGCAGGATGTTTGAGCAGACTATCTCGGAACCTCTCATGGCCAAGACCCGAGATCACCGCTGTAATTCCCACAGCTTGGTCGAAAGAATTAACCTCCAGCACTGCATCATTGAATCTGCTCATAAAATTCTTCAAAGACTCTCCGTCCCTCTGCTTAACTCGCATCAGCTCAGAAGTGGTTTTCCTGATCAACCTCCTACTGGAAAACTTTGTGGCAAAAGCAGATGCCAGTTCTGTGTAAGAGTTGATTGACCTCGGAGGCAGGCTGTAGTACCAGGTTCGAGCATTACCTCGGAGGGTAGAGGGAAAGATTTTGCACATCAACGCATCAGAGGCATTCTGGGCCTGCATGCAAGAGTAGAAAGCATGTAAATGATCATCGGGGTCCTTTGTCCCATCATAAGTTTCAAGCTGTGGTATTCTGAAGCCAGTGGGATAAGGTTCCAGTACAATATTGGTGTTGAGAGGGTGGGGTACGAAATCAACAGCAGGATGTGGAGGTGGGGCACCTCGCTGTTCACCCACTAGCCTTTCTAAGCTATCTAAACGTCGAGTGACAGCATCATGAAGGGGTTGCTGGGCTGGGGTGATGTGAGATTGGCCTTGAGATTCACTAACAGCGGGAACATGTTGAACTGGTTCAGGATTTTGTGGTGGGGCTGGAGGTTGTGGTGGGGCAGGATTAAGTAAATTGATGAGTGGATCTCCAGGATTATTCTGGGTTAACAGTTGAGCCAGCACTTGCTGAAAGACACCAAACTGCTGTTGCATGGCAGCAAGTTGAGTTGCAACTATGTCTTGGTTAGCGGTAGAGGCTGAGTTGTGAGCCGAATTGTGTGGCTGATTTTCATCCCCTCCTTCTGTATGGTCAGCATGAAGGAATATATCCGAGATTGGGGGTGGGGGATGAGGTGGAAGGTTGCTGGGGGCCTGACCTCGTCCAAGAGGCTGAGAGGAGTTTCCACCTCGGGCTGACCTAGTTTTAACCATGATAAGAGCAACAAGGGAGCCTTTAGTTCAGATTACCACAGACGGCGCCAAAATGTAACTGCACCAAACCAGAAGTCCTTCTTCAGTCTGTATCTGCACTCTGGATTGACCTGCAAAGCCCCGAGGTGGATCCTCGGGGTAGACACTCCGATGCTTAAGTCAGTAATAATCGGGGCTACCTTCAAAGCGGAGAAACAAGGAGCTTAGGGTTGGTTCCAATTACCTTTTGGCGTGGCCCTTAAGGGGTATTTATATGTTCCGATGCAGAATCCACGCGGCATGCCAATCAAGATGCCAAGCAAGATATCCGGGATCCGATGTATATCTCCAGGCAGTTATTTCGGGACCGGGAGATTGAGCCAAGCAAAATATCCGGGATTTGATATGTATCTCCAAGCAGTTATTTTGGGACCGGGAGATTGAGATATATCTAGATACAAGGATGTCCATCGTAACTGCCGTGTAGCTATTTTAGCGGGAAGCTCTGGACTTACCCTTACACTTGGCTATGATTGGGCTTTGGAGCCCACTATAGTTGCTGGTGTACGTGTTGATTTCCGTGATGTGAATGGATGGACTGCACTTCACTGGGCAGCATTTTGTGGCAGGTGATCACCTCTACAATTCTTTTGAATATTTCTTTAATGTGTACCATTTCCTCTGTTTTTCTTTTCCCTTTTTGAGCGTTTTACTGTTGTCCACAAGAGAAGATCCAAAGAAGACTCTAAAATAACGGCTCTATAGGTTAGCAAATACTCCATAGTTAATGAGGAAAATATATCTTTCTTAACTTTCATATTCAAAAATATGAGAAAAATACCATATCATCTGACATTTCATGCTTAGCCGATTTATTACTTACTCAATTATTTCTGACCCATTCATCTTATATGTGCTGCTTCTATTAACATAAACTTCTTCAACTTCAGAAAGCACACGGTGGCTTCCCTCATTTCGTTAGGTGCAGCTACTAGAGCATTAACACATCCATCACCTAAATATCCCTCAGGCAGAACTCCTGCTGTTCTGGCGTCTGTTAATGGACATAAAGGAATTGCTGAATCCCTTGCACATTGCTGGTTGGATATCCACATTTCATGCATTAATTTGGACCACCAAGAGGACCTTGCAGGACCAAAAGCAGTACAGAAAATTTCAGAAATAAGTGCAGCACCACTTAGCTTAGTGAATGCATCAGATTGCCAGTCGCAAAAGGACTTACCAGCCAATAGTCCTTGTTTTCTTGAATTTTGTTTGGAGTTCCTGAAGTTATTTAAGAAAATTCCAACCGCTGGGAAACCCATGTTTCTCGAGTGTTTGTTTCTTCTAAATTTTAATTTCTCTCGTTTTACCTTATTTTTTAATAATCAAATTTAAGTAATTTTTAACACATGCTTTCCTTTTTAAAATATATAATCCCATCCTGTAAAATCTTTTTAAGCTTTTTAACATTTTAAAAAAAATCTTTGTGTTAAACTTTTTATTATTATTATTTTCGACTGTCAGAGTTTTAATATTAGACTCTGCAAAAATTAAAATTTTATTCATAGGAATAATTTATTTATTAATTTTTTTTGGATTCTGTTTTTATTTTTTGGTCTTTCTCATGAATTTGAATAATTCTGAAAAAAACGGTATGCGACCTTGTTAATTGTCATGGGTCACTGTGAAGTTAGCAAACCTTATTCTTCAAGCAAGCATGATGGCTTTGATCCTTTTCTATACAGCCTCTTAATCCTAATAAACCTTTGTCATACGTTTATGTTAAGTTGGCGTGACAGAGACTTGATTCCAAATCGATGGGTGTCGTGCCTTTTGTTTATAGCTTTTGGATTGGTTTTGCTAAAGAATGGAACCAAATTTTCATAACTTTATTTTCCTGATTCTCCTTTTTTTTTGGTTTGCAGCTGCAGTTAGGTTTTTCCTTCGAGCCGAAAATCTGAGTGATGAAGAGGAAGAGGAGAAAGAAGAGGACAAGGGGCCGGAGGACGAGCGACCGGAGAAGGATGAGGGACCGGAGAAGGACGAGGGACGGAAGAACGAGAAAAAAGAGGGAAAGAAACGAGCACCAGACTCTGCTTTGGAGAGTGGAAAGTCAAACAAGATTTTGAAGGCATATTTAGCGTACATGGCTCTGTTGACCGCATATTACAATGTTCAAAGCATGGTGACAATCCAAATGCTTGTGTTGGTATTTGTTGAGGCTTCTAAAAACACTGGAGAAAGAAAGCTTTCTTATATTGATGATGGATTTGAACCGTCAGCGATTCGCGAGTAGGCGAGGAAACAACGGCGGAATTAAGTGTGTTTCCGTATATGTTGGTTTTACCTCCATTCGATCTATCTGAGCAGGTGTGATGTTGATGTAAGAGTCAGGACGACGGAGTGGGCTTTGGAAGGAATTTTAGCCATGAATTTAGGGTTTACTTTGTGGTTAAAGGGTGTTTACACCTAAAAATAAACCAATGAGAGAAGATCACATGTCAAGTTGAAGTCTAATTATCAAGAAAATTAAGTTAACAGGTTGGATTTCGGCTGGGCTGGCTTACAATTTAAGAGCTCAGACGAAATTTGAAAGAAACTGGATTTTAGGTGGCAAAAGATAAAATAATTTCTGGTGTTTGAGTTTGATTTAAGTTAGGAAGTTGAGGGTTTTTAAGAGGAGGTTTTCTTTAGGGTTTTATTGAAGATAAGATTGAATAAAAAGTGTCAACCACTAGACATTTGCCAGACATCTACCAAACATGGAACCCCCACTACTCGATCATGGTGGGAAAGGGCCAAAAAACATGGAGGAGGTTTCCTAGCATCGAAGAAAAGGAAAACAGGAGAAAAAAATCAATTACAGACGGCCTACCCTATACACATTGCCCAGAGCATATGTTTTTCAACTTTCATATTGCTTTTTTCAGATTTCAGCATATTTTCTAGATTAGTTTGCAAGATCTATTCTTTTTCATAGCTTTAGTTTGGGTTTTTCCATCCTTGTTCATATCTTTCCTTAAATATTTCAACTTAGGTTAGTTTTTAAACATTTGGAAGCATATCAGTCTTGAGAACGAGTCTATCTCGTTGATTTGGTTAGTTCTTCTTTCACTTATGGATTCATTTATGTTATCTGTTCATGTAAATAGGTTGGATGCTTTCTACCTTCTTTTCCTTGTATTTGTGTAATTGTTAGATATGCAATTTGTTTAATTTCAATTTCCAGATCAAAATTTAATTTTACAAGTTTCCAGATTTCGATTAATTCGTAGTTTTTCCTTTAGTTTTAGCAACCAAGTATTTTAGTTATTTTTATTTTAAATCTGCAAGTAATTAGTTTAATTGTTATGGACTGCGTAGTTGAAATCATTGTCTGTGATTTTTCATATTCTATTGTCTGCGAATTTAATTTTTGAGGGATGTTGTTCTCTTTTATTTATTTCATATTAGCTTAATTGCCTTAGGATATCGTGTTTATTTTAGGATTTGTAGTTTTTGTTACACTTTTGTGGTTATAAAGTCCTTGGAGGTGTTAACGGTAATTAGTAACCCATTGTGGCAAAACGTCACCCTCTGTTTTGCAACATCATCTAGGGCCACAATTTATATCACAGACGTTTTTTCGAACCATACTTTTGGAGGTCGACCATTGAAAAGGAGAATGGTCGTTTGAAAAATCTTATTCTTTTATTTTTAGATAAAGCAAGTGGCACGCCTTATTCTCAAACTCATATGGTTAAGGTCGGCTAAGGATTTTTTGGGAAATAAAGGAGTTATTCATACCACTACGATATTAGTGTTTAATAAAATTTGATTACATAATGTTTTGAGATTCCTAATAGTTGATTGCCCAGTATTTTTTTAGTTGATTGAAAATTTTTAAGTTAGTTTATAAATTTATTCATTTTAATTATGATATTTGATTTTTTATCATCACCCAAAATTATTAATTTTTAAATTAATTTTAATTTTATTTTTTTGTCTTTTTTCTCTTTAATAATACTAATTAATTATTGTTTTATTATCTTTTAAATTAACTTCTCATAAAAAATATATATACTAACTAGTTAAACAAAACTTGCTATCCAAATAATTTAATTAAAAGTTTGTTTTTCTTCTATTTAAAAGTAAAATAATTTTTTTACTAAAAATATAAAAGGTAATTCAGCACCTGTATATTTTATTTATTTATTATAAAATTAATTATCTTACTAATGAGAAAATACTATTAATTAATAGCATATAAATATGCCTAAATAATAATAATTAATTATTATGTAATCAAACAATTATATTAATCAATATTCATTCATCTGTCACCCATTTTCTTATTTTTATAACCCATTATTTTTTATTGTTATTTATTAATTACTATCTACTAATTATCAACTACTATTCATTATCAATAGTTATCTGTTAGACTGTTTCTCGTTGTTATTATTATTATTATTATTATACCAAACTTATTTATAATATCATCCTGTCAAGCTCGTAGTCCAACAAACTGTCCGATCTAATTGGAATTGGAGGTAAAAATAGGTTGACGTCCGATTCAAAATTAAAAACATTGATAGAATATTAAGGATTTTAAATTTGAGTAATATATATGTAAGTGGAGAAAATTAAAAGATATAAGAGAGTTATCTTTTATTATTATACAATATAAAATGAAGAAAAAAATAGACTACGTAGAGTGTGTATATATATAGATTTTAATGAAAATAGTATCTATTTGCCTTATTTTTAAAAGTTAAGAGAAAAATCATCCCAAAATTATATCATTTTAATAAGTTTTTATTGAAAAAGATTAAAATATCATATTTTTAAAGTATGAATTAAAATATTTTTTGTCCTTTTTGTAGTACTTTGTTAAAACTATGTAGTTTTGAAATAAATTTCCTCGTAATCTTTAAGAGGTAAAATGGATAAACACTAATTTATATTTTAATAATTGAGGTATTTTTTGATCAATTTATATATATTTCAAAATTAATTTTTTTAAATTCAATCAAGAATAAATTATTCACACATATAAACTAAAAAATTTTAAAAAAGTTATTTTCTTATTAATCTTTTTAAAAAATCAAATCTTAATTAATAAAATAGAGAGTAAACCCTTACCAAACTACCTTCCCTAAGCCATACGGCATTAACTTTTGGGTGACACCATCGCATAATAACTATGAGTCCGGTTATTTTCACCAAGGTTAAATGCCTATTTTGGTCTATAAACTTTTAGTTTTAGATTAAATTAGTCTTTAAATTTAAAAAATACTAAAATGATCTTTAAACTTCACCTTTTTGGCATCAAATTTGTCATTCTGTCGATCGAATTGTCAAGTACCATATTAACTTACTAAGAAATCACACCTTTTTAATTTAAATAATGATGGATGAAGAATCATTAAAAAATCATTGAAACTATCATTAAAAACTCATTGAAAAGGTTTGATTTTTTTGCAAGTTAATGTCACACTTGCAATTCTGTTGATGGAAGGATGAAACAGTATTGGAAAATTGAAGTTTAAGGATCATTTTAACATTTTTTAAAGTTTAAGGACCATTTTAGTCAAAAACTAAAAGTTTACCGACCAAAATGGTGATCTAGTCTCCTACGAAAAAGACTCAAATCAAACATACTAAAATCTTCATCTTTGCCCCTCCTAATAATATGGGAACGGCTTCTTAAGCTCAATAACAACGGGCCTTCCACGGATTACAACTGGTGAAGCTTGAAGAAGCCTCTGTTCTGAAGTGGGATCCTCATAGAACACATTGACTTCTCTGGCATGTTGGAGAGTTCTACGCTTGAAACGCATGTCTACTATACAGCCAAACCGTCCAAAACACCTGTAAAGCTCATCAATATTGATGTCCAGAGAAACAGTACAATGAGGAACGGATTTGTCCGAAGGCGAAGCTCTGGGTGTGAAGGCTGTTGGTGCACGAAGAGTAATGCGTTGCTTTTTCTAGCCTCTCAGGGCAGCTTCTAGATAACTTCTCTGAGAGTTTCTATCCATTTTCACTGCATGAATTAAGTTTAAAGTCGAAATCTAATGAAAGTCATCGAGAAAATTGCATACTCTGTCCAATCTAAATAATAGATGAAACCCAAAAAAAGAGGGGGAAAAAAGGACTAATTAACGCAATAAACTTCAAAGTTCAATCTCAAGAATTTGATCTTGCAAGAAAAATAGATTTTAGGAACTTCAAAAATTAATCACCTTGTTAAAAAATTCATGAAGAATTTATGATAAAGGACAAGATTTATGTTCAAATAAATCCTAGATGAAAAACACTAGAAACGAAATAATTAAGCCCCAAGAAAAAGGGAACACTAACCCAATGAATTTGAGCTCAAGAATATGATCTCCTCCCTCGTTCAACTGGAATTGATGCTTTTTCTTTTTTTGGGGGGTAAGACTTAAGCACTAGATTTGATGATGTTGTATGGAGAGATCGTTAGCTATGTATAAAAAGAAAGGCATACGGTTTATGTTCATGTTGTTCTTATCAGCGATGGGCGCCGTTCTGACTTTTGTTCTAGTTAGGGACTTTTGGTATAGCTATTTTGGATGATTATTAGTGGTTTCATCTAAATTTCTAAATCACTATAAAATGTGTGTTTAATAAATTTATTTATTTTTAAATTGTTACAATTTATTCAGTAAATTTTTTTAGTAATAATGCATTTAGTTTGAGAGAAATGAGAGGACGGAGAGAAGAGGGATGGGTTTTTTAATAAATTGAATTATAATATTTTTAATATTTTAATTGGATTGATTAAAAAATTTACTCTTCCCCTCTACTCCCCTCCATTCTACTCAAATCAAACATATTATTAGTAGTTCGAGATTAATAGATAATAGTTAAGTGTAAATCACTAACATATTAAAAAAAACTATCTTAAAAAACTTTCTGTATTAAACTACTAGCAAATTGAAATTTTTTAATTTTATTAACAAATTTATTAATTTTAATTTTTCACTTTTTGCCATAGTCTTTAATTACTAATTATCTAATTGGCATCAACTTCATTTTTTCCCTTTAATAACATTAAATGATTGTTATATTTTTATTTTTTACATTCACTTATCATTAAAAAAATTATATTAGGTTAATCAACAAAATTTGCTAATTAAAAGAAATAATTAAAAGTTTGTTTTTTCTTTATTTGTGTCACGCCCCAGAACTCGAATCCGAGGCGCGACAAACGTCGTGCATTCGTGAGACGGGTCCTACAAATGCACAAGGCTCAAAACTTATCCAATTCACATCTAATACCACAAAATCTGAAAATAAAATATTAAAATCTGTTATGATATCATAAAATCTCCAAATACACTCTAGTTTACAAGATCATGATTTATTTTTAAAATCTATATCAATCTCAAAATGGCTAGCCTTTTAACTCGTCACTTCCCATGGTTTCCCCGTCCTCGGTTTCACTTCCTGAAATGGTGGACAAGGAAAAACTATGAGATAAACTCAGTAAGTAAATATAGATAGCCCGTAATTAAACTCATAGCATGCCAACAAGTACAATTATGAAAAACGAATACAGTACGAGAACGAAATAGACGTCTCCTCTATAGGTCATGGCCTGGCAGGCACACTATTTGCTGGTGTATAACCCCCACTAGCAGGGTCACTCAAACGAACCGGTTCTATCAATAACATGTCGACATGTGCTAGCGTTTAACCCCCACTAGCAGGATCATTAATAACATAACCACATCGGAGACAAAACAGACAGAAGTTAACAGAAAAATCATAATTCACCAATCACTTTCAAATCATCAGGACAATCAATAAGATTTCAAGTAGGCATGCTCAATTTAATGAAAAGTATAAAAATTTCACTTCAAATCAGTCATACTTACTTTTGCATAAAACGGGTTTAGTCCCGCCACCACTTCAAAAACAAATCAAAACATGCTTTAAAATCGAAGGGCGTTACCATAATTTACTTACCTCACTCGCATAAAACCGAAGACTGATAGAACGATCAGGAACCTAATCACAATATCCAAGAATTAATACTATACTATCACAAATTCAAACTGAAATCATCATTAGGATCACCTCCTAATCACGATGCTATTTCTATCAATTTCCACATAATCTGACATCTCCAAATTTGTTCTTATATCACAAGCTAATCATTTAAATCCCCGTTACTTGTTGACCCTCGGTGTGTGAACAGTACCGTGAACAGTACCGTGAACAGTAACCACCACGTGAACAGTAACTCCAACTTCCAAAAATTGGCCAAAACACTAGCTAATTCACGGGATTTTCTCTCCAAAAATCACAACAATCTAAATCAAGCTAATTTACACTTAAACCAAGCTTAAAACATGTTCAAAGGCGATCGGAATTCATCCATTTTTCTGCAGAATTTCGGACATCACTAGGCAGCAAGTTAAATAGGTAATTTCAGCAGTTAAATGGGTAAATTTTGGACTTAGAGAAGCTGCCACATACCACAATTTAACAAGCAAAACCGGAGCTGCAGTTGGGGAAGGCCGGCGGCAAGTGCAGGGGGAATTCACGCAATCTACCAAAAATTGAAGGAACCAAGAGCAATTAAGGTAAACCCAAGGCAATTAAAGCTGGAGAAGGGAGATTCATGGCTGTTTCTTACCAGAAAATCAGGCCAATTCGCCCCCACAAGGCAGGAGCAACCGGCGGTGAAGAAGCAGAGCAAGGCAGATCCGGAAGCTTTCCTGCAGGGGGAAGATTTCAAGGCTCCAAATCTTGTTCTTGGACAAGAAAAGAAGAGAAAAATCCAAGCTTCTTACCGGTTTCTCAAAGGCTGGTGCCGGCGACTTGGAGGGGAATTTCGGGAGCTGCAGGGGACGGGAAAGAAGAAGAGCAGATGTGCCGGTGAGGAAGAAGAAAGAAGGAAAAAAAGGAGTGGATCCTTATCCAAATGTCTTTCACTTTTAAGTCCCTCAAGTTTGGACATTTTGGCTATCAAGTCCCAAAACCATATTTCCTCTCACCAAGGTCCTTAACTTAATGCTAAAATATCACAAAATTTTGGGGTATTACAATTTGAAATTAGTATAATTTTTTTGTTTGTTAAAAATAGAAATGAGAGTGTGATTTACACTTTTATATTCTATTATATTAATTATATCTTTCTTTTTATTATTTTTTCTTCTTATAATTTTTTTTATAAAATTCATAATTTTAATAATATAAAATATAAAAAGAAAAAAAATACACTTAAGTGCTTTAAAATGTATTTTTATCAGTCATTTAACATCAAATAACAACCACTAACTAATGTATAATTAAATGATTACATCAATCAAAATTGGATATCTACTATCTGTTATGCACTCCTTATCCTTCGTTAAATTTTAACTGCTATATTAAACAAACTCTTAATCTTTGCAACATACTAGTATTATCCAACCCAGCTGCGAGTTGTGGTAATGCATTTGTGTTTTAGAAGAAGAGAAAAAATATTATTAGAAGTAGAGAATAAAATAAAATGCATAGAAAGGAAAAAAAAAATGTAGTCTCAAATAATGAGGTTTGGTATGTTTTAATAGGTTCAAAATAAAAATCTATGAAAGTAAAATTGTTTCTATTAAATCTAATTTATTTGATTGAGATTAGTGTTTATGATCAGTTGAAACTCTAAAAAATTAGAAGAAAAACACCTTAAAACTATATCATTTTATTAAAGCATCAAAA